CAAAAAGATTGGAGGTTGCCAGAGGCTGGGGGGAGGGGGAAATGAGCGCCTGTTAATGGGTATGGGGTTTCTTTTGGGGGTAATGAAAAAGATTATGAAATTTTATTTTGGTGGTAGTTGCACTACTCTGAATATACTAGAAACTACTGAACTGTATACTTTAAAAGGATGAATTGTATGATATGTGAATTATATCTCAAGCTGTTTAAAAAAATAAATAAAAGTATCAGGTAATAGTGTGAAGACTTCAGTTCATGGACCTTCCAGGAATGGGAAAAAAGTCAGTATAGACCCAACATTATTGGTGAGAATGGGAGCACAGAAAGGTGACACTGGAGAGGTAGGCGTCAAGAGAGGGAAAGTGTGAGGTAGATCATGGTGGGCCATCCAAGTCTTGTTATACATCAGTGACTAAGCCTTTCGAGTGAAACCTTTCAAGAGTTTAAGCAGGGGACGGAATGAGTAGGTACTTTTAAAAGTGCCCTTTCTCAACATGTTTACCAGTCCACTCTATTCACCTACTTTCAACATCCAAATCAACATTAAAGTTCTGACTTTTCACAGTATTTTCAAAGTTAATAATTTACCTCTCTGCAAATGTGTACTTGCAGAAACTCAGCAAGAACACCAGTGGAAATACAGAAAATACCAGAAGAAATACAGAAATGTGTGTGAGGGCCCTCAGCTGATTCCCTTTACCTTGGTTCTTCTCCGTCACCAGCTGTGGCCCCATCCCAGCTTGCTGGCCCTAAAGCCCTTCAAGTAAAAGTCGTCCTGGTCGTTGTGCTAATGAATACACAAGTAAAGGCTGATAGGCGACTTTGTTGAACGCAAATGTCTGCTATGGGAAATACAGAGAGATGTCTCTGAAATAAAGGAACATGACAAAGTTGAAACCATTTAACAAAGAATTTCAGTGCTACATGGATTTTTAATGTTTGCTACAATAATAGGAAACCACAGTAGACTTTTTAAATATTTTTAAAAGATTTATTACAGTAACAAATCCCCCATAGTAATGTATAGACC